ACAACACTTGGTCCTTGGTCTCTCTACCACCAGGCAAGCAGGCTATTGGATGCAAATGGGTTTTCAGAGTCAAAGAAAATGCTGATGGCTCTGTTAACAAATTTAAAGCCAGATTAGTGGCCAAAGGATTTCATCAGAGGTTTGGTTTTGACTTTGGGGAAACATTTTCTCCAGTAGTTAAACCTATAACTATAAGAATTCTTCTTACACTTTCCATCTCTCATAAATGGTCTATCCAGCAGCTTGATGTTAACAATGCCTTTCTCAATGGGGAACTTGAGGAAGAAGTTTACATGACTCAACCACCTGGTTTTCAGCATCAGGATACTTCACTTGTTTGCAGACTACACAAGTCCTTGTATGGCCTCAAGCAAGCTCCCAGGGCTTGGTTTCAGAAACTCACTTCAGTTTTGTATAGTGCTGGCTTTAAACAAAGCAAATGTGATCCCTCCTTACTATTATATCTCACCTCTGAAATACAAATATACATCCTAATCTATGTGGATGACATTCTGGTTATTGGAAACAACTCTGTCATAATTCAACAGATCATTCAAAAGCTAGACTCCTCATTTTCTCTCAAACATTTGGGAGACATTGATTTCTTCTTGGGTATTGAAGTTAGAAGGCTTCCTGGTGGGTGTCTACACTTATCCCAAGCAAAGTACATCAGGGATCTCTTGGAAAAGGCTGGAATGTCTGATTCCAAGGGTGTGAAAACACCAATGGTGAGTAGCTCCAAGCTTACCAATGAAGGGAATGATTTTCTTCTTGACCCATCTCATTACAGATCTATTGTTGGAATCCTACAGTATGCTACTCTAACTAGACCAGAACTCAGTTACTCTGTGAATAAAGTGTGTCAGTTTATGGCTGCACCTTTGCAAGAACACTGGAAAGCAGTAAAACACATTCTCAGATATCTATCTGGAACTATCACCTATGGGTTGATCATCAAACCTCTCTCTTTATCCACTACACCTTTACCTATCTTTGCCTTCTGTGATGCTGATTGGGCTTCAGACCCTACAGATAGAAAGTCAACATCAGGTTCATGCATCTTCCTAGGCCCAAACATTATTTCTTGGTGGTCAAGGAAACAACTCCGGGTAGCCAGATCCTCAGCAGAGGCTGAGTACAGAAGCCTAGCAGACACTTCTTCTGAACTGTTATGGGTTCAATTTCTGCTTAAAGAACTTCAAGCTCCCTTTCTAACCCCCAAAATCTATTGTGACAACCTCAGTACAGTCCAACTGGCTCACAATCCTGTACTACACTCTCGCATTAAGCATATGGAAATTGATCTTTTCTTTGTCAGAGAGAAAGTTATACTCAAGCAGCTAGAAGTTCTTCACATTCCAGCCCCTCAACAGATTGCAGATGTGTTGACCAAGCCTCTATCAGCATCCTCATTTCTTGAATTTAGAAACAAACTGAGTGTGATTGATCTTCCAAAACAATCATCCTCAGTTTGAGGGGGGAATGTTAGGAATAATAGAATAATAGATATTCTCTTTTGCTTGTATTCCTGTATTGAGTTGCACGCTTAGTCTGTTAGTTACCAATTGTATAAATACTCTGAAAACTTCAATTCTAAGTAAGATGATTTCATTTTCTATCTTCTACCACATTCAGTTTCTAATACACCCTTACACAGCGGAGAAATTGGCTGACATCTGTGTGAAACAAATCTATAAACTTCATGGAACCCCAGAGTCTATAGTAAGTGATCGGGATGTGGCTTTTCAGAGTTCTTTTTGGAAAGAGTTTTTCAAGTTGCAAGGAACTAAGCTATGTATGAGTACTGCTCATCACCCTCAAAGTGATGGACAGACGGAGCGACTTAATAGGTGTCTAGAAACCTATCTAAGATGCCTGACTCACAAGCACCCTAAAAAGTGGAATCAGTGGCCGTCTCTTACAGAATGGTGGTACAACACTTGTCACCACCATTCCATTAAGGAGACTCCTTTTAAGGCTCTTATGGATATGAACCTCCCCAACTATCGGTTGGACCTTATTTGCAGACATCCAATTATTCTGCACAGCAAGTGGTACAAGAGAGGCAGCAAGTACTCCAAAACCTCAAGGAACATATGTCTCAGGCTCAGGAGAGGATGAAGAGGTATGCTGATTCAAAGAAAATAGAGAGATCCTTTCAAGTGGGAGATTGGGTTTTTCTGAAAATCCAACCCTTTAAACAAGGGAACACGCTGCTCAGAAGACCAACCAAATTTTCTATAAAATACTTTGGTCAATATCAGATCATCCGTAAGATTGGGGCAGTGGCTTATCAACTGCAACTACCTCCAAATTCTAGAATGCATGATGTATTCCATGTCTCCCTACTTAAGGGGAAATAAAAAATAAATACAGTGTCTAGGCAACCCTAGGCAGAAGAAAGCATCAATTGCGGAATTCTATATGTGTGGGCAACTAGGCACCCTAAGCAGTGCCTAGGTGCTGCCTAGTCTCTCCTAGATTCAACATTTAACCACCAGCATTGTATTGGTGAACACTCCACCTTATTGGTGTTTTTATAGAGCTACTAGAAAAAGTTGCAATAATATATTCTATAATTAAAAAAGTTACTTTAAGGATAGGCGCCCTAGGCATGTTTGGAAAATTCCGCAACCATGCGAAAGACACGAATAATTTAGGCTGTTAACATCAGAAGGTTTGATTGTTACTCATTAATCATCAAAAACCCTAGCTTAATTGAATATATATATATCTATATATATATATATACATATATATTTATTTAATTAGATAAGGTATCAAATAAAAACACCTCCTAATTTACAAACTACAAACTCATCTTCGCCTAGTTTTATATGTATATTTTGGTGCAGTTATCTTTCAAAACATCATTTGACTGCCTTCCCGGTTGAATTTTTAGCTCAAATTTGATGAACATCATTTACACTTCATCTGGAACATGCTTTAAAAAATCAGCAAAAAATACTACCGGGAACCACCTAGAAACAAGGTGGCCGGACGGAGCTCTGGTCAGGAATTTTCTGACTAGAAGATACTCTATATATATATATGGAATCATTTAACTGTTCCAACCATTGATTACACATGCTGACATGCAGCTGACGTAGCATGACCCTGACTACTTAACTAGGCAACTCTACAACAAAAGAAAAAAGCAAAAATTGTTATTATATTGACAGTGGTTACATGTAGCAACAAGTGGCATACTCCTGCACAGTTTACTGGACGAATCCATAAAAATGAAAAGCAAACTGCTACAATATTGATAGATTTTACATGTAGAAACAACTATAACACTAATGTCAAGTGTAATGTTCTGTATCAGACGTAAATCGTATAGCTCCCGCAGAGTGTTGTCAATAGCATGCTATAGCTGCGCTACAGCGGTATAGCGGAGCGGAGGAAGGGTTGAGCGCTACAAGAACACCTGTAGCGTTGCGTTTGACTCTAGCGGGAGTAGCGCCGCTATAGTGGCACTATTTGCTTTTCTTTGCTGCAGTTAGGTTTTTTCTTGGCTAAGTTTCGTTTTCAGAGGTATTAAGGGTAAAGTAGATGATATGAAGCAGAATCTGGGCTTGGAAGAAGAGGGGCAGAAGCCCCCGTGGGTTTACCGAAGGCGGGACGGGCTTGAGCCCACCTTCGTGGGCTGGTTGCTGGCTGTTTAATTAATATTTATTATTCCTTTTATTTTGTTTCCTAATTTAATTTGTTTCCTAGTAGGATTTATTTAGGACTTCTATTCTTATTAGAATTAGAGGTTTCCTATTTCTATTTAGTTTCCTAGAATGATTTAATTAGGAGTTCTATTAGAACTAGAGGTTTCCTATTCTATTTAGTTTCCTAGATTAATTTATTTAGGATTCCTATTCTTATTAGACCTAGAGGGTTATTTATACCCCTTGTATGCTTCATTCTTGATGATTTGGGGAATAAAAGTTGGTTTAGCCTTTTGGCTTTGGGCAACGGTATTTATTTATCGTTGATTATCGGGCAACGGTTCATACCGTTGATTTTATTTTTCTGTTCTTATCAGTAGACTTTTGAACAAAAATAGTAAGTTAGTAACGACTGTAAAAACCTTTTACGCACTAGTGTTGCTACTCACACCTGATACGATGACAAGTATCTGGTTCTCTTCTGCAAGAACAAGTGAACAACCTCTGCAGCTTCATCTCCTACAAGAACGACATCTGCTACACTTTTCCAATTGCTTCTCTTGAGTATATTTTCTCCTTCTCCGTCCTCTACGAGAACTACCTCTGCTGCACTCTTCTTTTCTTCTTCTAAGTAGCATCTTCTGTTTATTGTTTAGACTCAACCCACTCAAGTTGTTATTTAACTATTAATAGCATCGTATCTTTTGTTCATGACCCAATGGAGTATTTTGTTGGTAATTTAGGATTTATGAATGTCAAGATGTTGGGTATTTTCAGTAACATAAATCATGTTTTTCTTAAGTTGATGAGTACACAATGTAATTATATGCATGCATATCATCTGTATTTTGAATATATATTCTCTGAATAGCGGTCATCCCGTTATCCACTATACCGCTATAGTGTTTTGAGGGCTGGCCGCAATGCTCCGCTATCCGGGATTGACAACACTGCTCCCGCACTGAATCAATGCTTCTAACGTGGCATACTTCTGTCTAGTATATATAAAACAACCACAGATGCAGGATGAATACAGAATCAGAAGTTTTATTCACAACCATCAGAGAACTCTCATGGTATTTCACAAGAGTGACAAGACAATTTTTTTATCTTCCGCTTTCTTCAAAAAAAAAAACTTTTGCTTCAATCTATTATGTTTCTTTTCAATACCATGTACCTTCTATTTCCTTTTACACTATACTATTTACTCAATGTTAACTACACAAACCTAACACATAATAAAAAAGTAATGAATTTGGATTTTAAATCCTATGTTTTGTTCTCCTGTAGTCCTGTACAAAAGCAATATTTTGCATTTGAAAGAAAGACAGAAGTAACAACCTGCATACTTCCGCACGGTTTCTACTCTAGCCACCTCCTTTGCCAGTGCGGGTAACTCCTCCCCCCAAATCTTACTCGGGCCTCCATCTGCACAACAAGGTAAGGCAAAACCTAATTAATAGATACGGTGTGCGAATTAAGGGAAAATGAGCACTTACTTTATAGGCATAATTTGGCGCATTTACCAGATGAAGAAGATGCAGTATGAGAGGAACACCGTAGATCCTTCACTTTGACATTTATGTCATCAAGAAGACCATTGATATGTGCAGAATGTGAAGCATAGTCGAAAAGGTAGTTCTCAAGCTGCTTGTTAAGATCCAAGAGGTTTTGGTCAAGGTCATTACATTGATTCTGGAGCTCCAACAAAAGATGAGGAGCCTGCTCAAGGTCTTTGAGAGTGCTGAGCTTGGCATTGAGAAATGAGATGACTGAGGGAGAAAGAGACGTGGCTGGTGGCAGGCTCCGAATCATTTTCCCTGTTTCAGAAACCATTTGATTGTTAACTCATGAAAGTTAAACACATTATTCCCTGTGTTGGTTTAGCAGATTTAGAGTCTTGAGTAGGTGTTTGGATCTACTTAAAACTGCTTCTTGGAAGACTCTAGCAAATACTGACTTCAAAAATTATGAACAGCCACCTGAAGTGGTATAACTTCAGTGCCAAACTCAAATTAGCATAACTGATTTTCTCCTCGTTGAAAAATACTGTTTTTGTTAAGTTTGTCAAACGCCTCCAGCTCTTCAACCAGAGACTGCTCCGTACCAGCCCCCATAGCTTGCTGCGGACTTGAAAACGACGTATCTTATCTTTGTATTCTCGGCTTTTGTAAAAGTTCAATTTCGGTTGATAAGGTCCCCTCACAGCATTTATGGCTACTCAATCTACTTCCAAAAAGGCAAAAGTCACATTGCGTTCGTTTTATAAGCGTAGTACAAGCACACAAAGTAGATAAAAGTTAAACGTCTCAAATGAAACTCCTAATATCTCATCCGCTCAAGAGAAAGTAGTTTCCGATGCATTTGTAATTGAGCTGGATCCGGGAAAAAGCAAAACGATAATTGATTGGCCGTTAGAGAAAAGAGATGATATTAGACGATCTTATTTGATGGTCTAATATCATATTTGACGGCAAAAAAAAAAAAAACTAACCAATATTTTATTTTAATTCATATAATTCATATTAATATTTTAAGAAATTCACAAATCACAATTGACATTCCTAATTTTCTATTACACAATTCAAAGCACACAAATCAATTAAAGTAACAAACTAAATTAACAAATAAAATACTTAAACTAAAATAAGAATTGTAAAAACAAAAAAAAAAACAGAAACCCTTACCTTGGCTCAGTCACACGAACAGCCTGCGCAAATGAGCAGAAGCAGAGGGCGACACACCAAGTTGGCTGTGTCGAGACTGGAGTCCTCAAGAGTCGAGAGAAGAAGACAGCAATCAAGAGACGAGCAGGAGAAGACGGCGAAAAGCACAGGCCAAAAGGTGCGTTCGTGGGTGTCCGTCCTCCAGCGATGAGAGCGGCGGAGCCGGCGAGCGGTGAAGCGGCGACGTCCGGCGAATCGACTATGCAGGCTGAGGCGTGCGCCAGTCACTCAGGTGCGTGATGCCTCCAATGTGGATCGGTGCGCTATTTTCTATGGATTGGGCCACAAAGGCTCTACACTGGGCCAGTCTTATATTTTTACTAGGCCAATTCCCAAAAAAAAACAATTAAAATTAAAAATATATACTCCTATATACCTCCAAAAAAACAATTAAAATTAAAAATATATACTCCTATATAAAGGGAAAATGGGCATTCATTCAAAAAAGGGAGGGAAAATGGGCAAATAAGCTCTCGAACTAATCAAAAAAGTGCAAATCACACATTATATAGGAGGCTCTGTCCGGACGTCGTCATTTGGGGAGGTTCCTGGTGGAATTTTTTTGATGAAATTTTTTGAACATTTTCTTCATCAAGTCTAGTTTACTCAGACCAAATTTCATCTAAAAATTTAATCGAGAATGCAGTCAAATGAATTTTTGAAGATAACTGCTCAGTTAAACAGTGCAGTATATTTCAGGAAATCATTTGACTACCTCCGCAGTTGAATTTTTAGTTGTAATTTTGTATGAGTAAACTAGACTTAATGAAAAAGATGCTCAAAAACATTTGTCAGAAAGTTTCACCGGGAACCGCCCCAAATAGCGACGTCCGGACAAAACCTTCTATATAAGGGGTGATTTGCACTTTTTTTTGTTAGTTCGAGAGTTTATTTACCCATTTTCCCAAAAATAAAAATGCACTGGGCCAGGGCCCAACATGGCCACCCCCACCCTCCGCCCCTCTGAGTGTTGAAGCTCTCCGTAAAGTGCTTATTTATTTTATTAACAAGCTATTTATATATTTATATGTCGGTAACCATTAAACCCCGATTACAGATTTCATATAGTTTCTTAATTCCAAATATAGAAATAAGGGTTCATATCACACGTTGCCTGAGCCGGTTTGTGTTGGGGAAAGGAAACTTGGGAAAGTTGATCTACCCCAATTTTAGATTCGATTCGAGTTTGTTGTCGTAAGATTCAATTCGTGTTTTATTTAAACGTTGTTGGTGTTTCTGTTGACCTAAATAGATTATCAAATAAAACCATTTGGTTAAATTTTTGTATTCACTTATTAGCGACTTCAATTTCACGTAAATTGAGAAAAATTAAAATCACTTGTTACGTGACCATATATTTTCTACAATGAAAGTATAACCTTACTGATCCCCCAATGTATGCGCGCGAAGCATTACAAATCAAGGAGATATTCTGTATTGACCTATTATTATTCTTTCCTTTTATTATTTCTTCCATTTGTAATTATTTATTTCCTTTTCTGATTTTGCTTCCAGCACAATACATGCATGTATATATTCATACGAAGAGACCCACTGTAATAAAAGTTCAAATATCTCAAATACAAAAATCTTCAACCTTCTCATCTGATCTTATTTTATTTATCATGGTATCAGAGCAAAAACCTGATATTTTTCTTCTGATAATTTAATATCCCCACAATATGGTTGTTGGCGATAAGGATGATACTTTGAATGATCAAACTTTGATCATTGATTCTATATCCCCATATTTTATTCAATCCGGTGATGAGCCCGAAGATGTTTTTGTCACTTCTCTTCTCCGAGATGGTAATTACGGAGATTGGCTCAAGTAAATGAGCAATGCCTTATATGCTAAAAAAAATCCGGATTTGTCAATGGAGATTTACTAGCTTTTCTCTTAGGGGGATCTCACCATTCTTTCAGAAAGGAGAAATCACGTGGATACCTAAGGTCAAGGTTTATCACATCCAAACTGGAAGATGTGTAAGTTCTAACTCAAATCTGTTATTATTGTTATCCGTTGATTTTTCATAATCAGGAAAGATTTGTTAGAGAAATTTTTAAACTTCCACTGACCTATTTTCGAGGTACGTTACATCAATTTCCTAACAGTGGTATAAAAGCCAAACTACAACCCCCTCTGTTGGAGGAAGACTTGGAGTCTCAATATTCCCAAATTTTATGCGTGTCTTTTTCTTTTTTGGGCATCTCAGGGCTCTGCGTCTTCTATACAAAAAGATTAAGCTGACTAGTCCACCAAGAATAACAAACCACCAGCTGTGTAACCCCTGCTCCCAGCAAACAATTAAGTATTCAACCAATAAATTGCCTGTATACATCCCACCACAGTTAATTGGTGCAAAGTTAGTGGAATTTAGTTATTTAGATCGCAAAAGTGAACAAAAGCATTATCCTATTACGTAGGGTTAAATTAATTTTTTCTCAATATATCTTTCAGGGAGATCAAATTTTTAATTATATTTATTAACAAATTTTAAATAAGCAAATGATCAACATAGCTACAACTAATCAAGGAGATATTCTGTATTGACCTATTATTATTATTCTTTCCTTTTATTATTTCCTCCTTTTGTAGTTATTCATTTTCTTTTCTGATTTTGCTTTCAACACTATACATGCATGCATATATTCATAAGAAGAGAGAGACCCACTGTAATACAAGATTCAAATATCTCAAATACAAAATTCTTCAACCTTCTGGCTTGATCTTATTTTATTTATCATGGTATCAGAGCAAAAAACTGGTATTTTTCTTCTGATAATTTAATATCCCCAGAATATGATTGTTGGCAATAAGGATAATACTTCGAATGATAAAACTTTGATCATTGATTCTATGTCCCCATATTTTATTCAGCCCGGTGATAAGCCCATAGATATTTTTTTCACTATTCTTCTTCGAGATGGTAATTACGAAGATTGGCCCAATGAAATGAGCAACGCCTTATATGCTAAAAACAAATTCGAATTTGTCAATGGAGATATTCCGATGACGGCGTACGGCTCCCCATACGTGCCATGTTGGCATCGAGCTAATGCTACGGTCGAAGGGTGGCTTAATACACTACTAGAAAAAGACTTTTTAGCGACCAATATATAACGACGACTCTCACAAATTGTCGTTAAAAGTATCTTTTAACGTCAACTATTGAGTTCGTCGTTATTAAATTTATTTATAACGACCATATGTGAAAGGTCATAGTTATTAATCAATCTGTAATTGTCGTTATTAGTAATAATTTTTTCGGGCGTATCTTTTCTGTTGAAAGCCACGTATTTTCTTTTAAAAATAATTCAAGGAATAAAGCTAATCTAAAATTAATTACAAATATTGAGTGTTCCGCCAAATCCTTTAAAAAAAAGTGTCGCGCCCAAAATTTCAACCCAAATATACTCGCTTCTAATTAAACTGATAATATATACTTATAGCGCGCGTAGCTAAAATAAACCTTCGCTAACCTAGTGCCCTAATCTTCCTAAACTCATAATCTCATAATCGGTCTTCTACTCTATCTTCCCTGGCGGCAAGATTCTCTCAAGCAATTCTAGCAATTTAATCGTTGCTGGACGCAAAGAGGACTCTCACAGAATTCATTCGCTCGATATATCGTCCCTACTGGCCTCGCTCTCGTCGTTCCAATCGCTTGATTGGCTAGATTTGTCTCGCTCGATCATCTTCTATGGGATTTAAGATTCTTGTTTGGTTGTTCAACCTTCTTGTTGCAGGTAATCATAATCTTCGATATTTTTTTTATTTTAATCTTCTTGTGTTAATTCGTTCTCAGCAATCAATAGGGTTGCCGCTACATCTTCGCTTGGTTGATTTGCTTGACTAATTTGCTAAGTTGATTTTCTTGGATTATTTGCTTTAATTTGTTGACTTCCTTGGACGATTTGTATTGTTGATTTTCTTGGTTGAATCTCTGAACATTTTAAACTTTATGATTGCTGATTTTTGAAATTATTGAGTTGGAAATTGGTGAAGAATATATATGTTCTTTATTTATATTATCTGAATTTTTACAGAGTGAACTTAATCTCAATAAACTAAAGACTTGAATTATTAACTTTTAATTTTTTTCATTATGTTCTGTTTATAAAGTATCATCTATAAAAAGTTTAAAGTGTTCACATTTTTTAAATGCTTTTAAAAAATGTTAAAAAGGTCTCCAGAACTGCTCACATTATGAAAAAAATGTTAAAAAGTTTAAAGTGTTCACATTTTTTAAATGATTTGTTCAAAGTATCACTCGTTGGCTTAACCCTATAGTTTGCAGAATCTTTTATCTTCACTTTTTAAATAAGTTCATATATAAGTTTTTGTCAAATTGTAGTAAATATCAGAAAAGATGTATTCTGATTAATGTTATGAATTTCTATCAAAAATGAACATTTTCTCACTCATGCTTCTGATTCATATTGTAAATGATGTCAGGTCTAATTTAAATCTAATAGAAGTGTCTGCCAGTTATAAGCTAGAGGAATTCCATACCTCAAAAGAGTTAATATCCCTTTATCAAACACCTGCTGATTTTCTTTACAGCTTGGATTGATGGTCTCTTTTAGCTTAATGCTTTGACGTGGAGACAATTCATTATTTTGTTGCTAAATCTTATAGAGTAGTATTATTATATTCATAATGTTCATGCATATTGTTAATTTGTAGAAGTAGTTTCTCTATATATGAATTGAAATAGTATCTATAAGTTACCACAAGCATAAACTCAAAGTCATCATATGTTCAGAGGCCTTGAAAATCTTGTCTTCTTTTAATACGGAGTATTAATAATAATATGAGTAATGTAATAGCAGCAATAAACTAATATCAATGCTCCATCTCAAATGCTGAAACTGAAGCTCTGAATTCGGAAGGGCGGACAAGAGCGTGAGGGCTGATGCAGTGACTTAGGATTGGCATTTTGCGCTTTTGGCAACCTGCAGTGAGACTGGGAAATTTGACGAGATTGATTTGAGCAGGCAAGCCATAGGCGATGGTGAGTTAGTGAAAGAATGTCGCTGGTTTGGGTCTGCGCTTGAGCATTCACTCTTGTCCTCTACCCCTTTGCCTTCAGACTTGGCGAGTGAGCGAGCCAGCCAGATTACTTCTGTCCTTTGTTAATCAGAGTAGTTATTAAACTTTCTTTGTTTATCAGAGTAGTTATTAAACTTCCTTTTTTATTTAATATTTTAGTTGGGATGAACTGAGAACCTGAGATAATGGGGGGTACCCGGCTCGAAACAGGAGAAA